CCCGCTCCCCTTCCCCCCCCCGCCATGGTGCTCGGCTGACTTCTGTGCCGCTCAGCCAGCCTGCCACGGGGGAGCAAGCGGCCGTTTGGGCCCCTAACTCCCCATGCAGCATGGGCCACCTAGAGGGAACAGCCAGCATTTCAGCAACAGCGCCGCCCAGAGGGAACAGCCAGCATTTTGGCATTACAGACTCACAGACACTGGGCTACTATATATATGATGCCTGTTTTAATGGATTTATTCTCACTACACCTCTTGCCAGCTGCTGTCAAAGGTTTGCCTTATTCTAATTAGTTGGGGTATGTCTACACTACAAAGTTAATTCGAACTAACATTCGTTAGTTCGAATTAACTTTGATAGGCGCTACACTAGCGCTCCGCTAGTTCGAACTTAATTCGAACTAGCGGAGCGCTAGTGTAGCGCCTATCAAAGTTAATTCGAACTAACATTCGTTAGTTCGAATTAACTTTGATAGGCGCTACACTAGCGCTCCGCTAGTTCGAACTTAATTCGAACTAGCGGAGCGCTAGTGTAGCGCCTATCAAAGTTAATTCGAACTAACATTCGTTAGTTCGAATTAACTTTGATAGGCGCTACACTAGCGCTCCGCTAGTTCGAACTTAATTCGAACTAGCGGAGCGCTAGTGTAGCGCCTATCAAAGTTAATTCGAACTAACATTCGTTAGTTCGAATTAACTTTGATAGGCGCTACACTAGCGCTCCGCTAGTTCGAACTTAATTCGAACTAGCGGAGCGCTAGTGTAGCGCCTATCAAAGTTAATTCGAACTAACATTCGTTAGTTCGAATTAACTTTGATAGGCGCTACACTAGCGCTCCGCTAGTTCGAACTTAATTCGAACTAGCGGAGCGCTAGTGTAGCGCCTATCAAAGTTAATTCGAACTAACATTCGTTAGTTCGAATTAACTTTGATAGGCGCTACACTAGCGCTCCGCTAGTTCGAACTTAATTCGAACTAGCGGAGCGCTAGTGTAGCGCCTATCAAAGTTAATTCGAACTAACATTCGTTAGTTCGAATTAACTTTGATAGGCGCTACACTAGCGCTCCGCTAGTTCGAACTTAATTCGAACTAGCGGAGCGCTAGTGTAGCGCCTATCAAAGTTAATTCGAACTAACATTCGTTAGTTCGAATTAACTTTGATAGGCGCTACACTAGCGCTCCGCTAGTTCGAACTTAATTCGAACTAGCGGAGCGCTAGTGTAGCGCCTATCAAAGTTAATTCGAACTAACATTCGTTAGTTCGAATTAACTTTGATAGGCGCTACACTAGCGCTCCGCTAGTTCGAACTTAATTCGAACTAGCGGAGCGCTAGTGTAGCGCCTATCAAAGTTAATTCGAACTAACATTCGTTAGTTCGAATTAACTTTGATAGGCGCTACACTAGCGCTCCGCTAGTTCGAACTTAATTCGAACTAGCGGAGCGCTAGTGTAGCGCCTATCAAAGTTAATTCGAACTAACATTCGTTAGTTCGAATTAACTTTGATAGGCGCTACACTAGCGCTCCGCTAGTTCGAACTTAATTCGAACTAGCGGAGCGCTAGTGTAGCGCCTATCAAAGTTAATTCGAACTAACATTCGTTAGTTCGAATTAACTTTGATAGGCGCTACACTAGCGCTCCGCTAGTTCGAACTTAATTCGAACTAGCGGAGCGCTAGTGTAGCGCCTATCAAAGTTAATTCGAACTAACATTCGTTAGTTCGAATTAACTTTGATAGGCGCTACACTAGCGCTCCGCTAGTTCGAACTTAATTCGAACTAGCGGAGCGCTAGTGTAGCGCCTATCAAAGTTAATTCGAACTAACATTCGTTAGTTCGAATTAACTTTGATAGGCGCTACACTAGCGCTCCGCTAGTTCGAACTTAATTCGAACTAGCGGAGCGCTAGTGTAGCGCCTATCAAAGTTAATTCGAACTAACATTCGTTAGTTCGAATTAACTTTGATAGGCGCTACACTAGCGCTCCGCTAGTTCGAACTTAATTCGAACTAGCGGAGCGCTAGTGTAGCGCCTATCAAAGTTAATTCGAACTAACGTCCGTTAGTGCGAATTAACTTTGTAGTGTAGACATACCCTTGGATATTTGTAAGGGAAAAAATAAAATTATTCATCCATTAATCATTTTTCAAAGGCTAATTATTAGCAAAGAATTGTTATTAACATCTCTTAAAATGAATTAATTTTTGGTCTCTATTTTCTTTCTCAGCATATACACATTTCACTTTAAAAAGTCAAATGCAATGGAAAGCTCCAAATTCTCTGCACTGCATTGGCATTTTTTTCAAAGTAACATAAACTGTAAATTCATCTTTGGGCAAGATATTTACAGGAAGCGTCTGTAAAATTAAACCTCCAATTCTTCATTCTTCATCTTTGCACTTATTGCTTATTAAGAGCAAATACAAATCCTAAGACAGTGTCAATATGCAAAGCTGATGGCATAACAATGAGTGCCTAGCATGAATGACTGTTTTATTTCTCTCTGGTTCTGCCTAGAGGTGAGAGCGTGGAACAGGGAATGTGAAGACCTGGGCAAGACAGAAGTGGGGCTGATCTTTAGTATGAATACTGTCTTGTAACTTGGTTACTGGGATATTTACTGTACAATTATGTTGATTTAGTTTTTGATGAAAAAAGCATGCAGGAAGTGGAATGATGGCTCCAGATGAGATACCATCCAGTAAAATTTCACGGTTAAGAGTCAGTGCCCGAGCATTTTGCTTCTAGCCGATTTACAAAGCTTAGATGGGAGACAGTATTTGGTGGTGAACAAACAGCTTTTTATTGGGATAGCTGAAGAAGTTAGATCTTTTCAGCATCCATCAGTAGATAGTAAAAATTCAGCTAAGATTGACATGTGTCAGCTGCTGGTTTAAATTCCTTTCTTATGTATTTTGCTTTATTTTTATGGTTAGGATTAAACAATTCTTTGGTTTAGGCAGGTCATCTGCTCAGTCCATTCTGCCCTGGTCACAGATGCCTGAAGGCAAAAATTGTATGTTCCCCACCCGGTCAGGCTTCCTGGGCAGACATGAGAAATACACAAGGTACAATAGTCCAGATGCATGATTCCACTTCAGGAGAGGCAAAGGAATGAAGTCTGTCACCCAAGGGAGTAGAATCAGAGAACAGAGAGGCGTCAGAGAACGCCGAATATGGGTCTGATAACAAACCTATTGAAGTCAACTGAAATATTCCTATGGACGTCAGTGGGCTTTGGATCAGGTCCTGAGGCTACGTCTACACTACAGGGTTTTTGCGCAAAAACAGCTGTTTTTGCAAAAACTCACAGAGCATCCATACCTCAAGCATGTTTTTGTACAAAATTTACAGTAAAACAGCAGAATAGAGGGCTTTTTGCGGTGTAGGTATACCTCTTTCTATGAGGAATAACTCCTTTTTGCACAAGAATTCTTGCACAAAAAGGTGTGTAGACGCTCAACAGGGGTTTCTTGTGCAAAAAGAGCCTATCAGAAAAAGTACAGGTGCTCTGATGGCCACTCTGTGAATGGCCATCAGAGCTTTCTTGCTCAAGAGCGTTCATGTGTGGATGCGCTTTTGCACAAGAAGTTTTTGTGGAAGATCTCTTCTGCAAAAAGCGTCTTGTGCAAAAAGCCTGCAGTGTAGATGTAGTCTAAGGGTCCTGATCTCCAGAAGTGTTGAGCATTTACAACCCCGATAAAATACCTGCAAGCTGTGGATGCTTAGCATTTTAAAAATCAGCCTACATTAATTTCAGTCCCTCAATAATAGTATAGTAAATAACATTGGGACACAACATTTGTTAGTGTTAGCTTTTATCCATAGCTGTACAGTCTGGGTAAGAATTCTTATTTTTCCATGTAAAGCACTTTGAGATCCTTGATTGAAAAGTCCTCTCAACAAAACTGTGAGTATGCAAATGAAAATATACACAGTCTACTATATGTATGCAAAGAATTTTATTTTTCCAAAGAAGTTTCCTTGTATTGACTTCATTTGAAAATTAGTATTCTCATGAGATCAGAATAAAGGTAATTGGATGTAACATTAAACTGAAAATTGATGTTTGGCAGGTATTGTTAATGCTGTTCCACATGTTAGTTATGAAGAATTCCTGCTCTGATACTGAGTAACACAGCAGTGCTTTTCCATTTCTTCTTTTGCACATTTACTATAATCCATAAGTAATTGTTTAGCTATGTAATCAGCATCATCTGGAATTTGCCCCAGGCCATTAGAAAATGGTGTCAAGGAGAAAAAGCTGAAAAGCAATATGGTCCATCTTTTGATTTTGTATCTAGTTTCCAAATATTCATCAGTAAAGGAGAAGTCATGACAGAGAAAAATGTATCAAGAGCTTTCTGTCTAAAGTCATTCAGTTTCCTATTTCAGTGCAGGAAAGCCGCTATACTTAAAGACTATTGTATTCCTTCACAACATGAAAACATGACACTGTATTATTAGGTGCTGACATGTGACGAGCAGCTGTTATTTAGCACCTGGTTCCCACCAATAAGCTAGCAACTCAGAAAAATGGGACATGTACATTGTTAGACAGTAAGAAATAAACAAGCTATTCAATATCCACACTCCCTGTAAAAGGGAAGCACCTAGCTCATACTCTATACTTAGAATGCTGACAATCTTCTTCTCCTCTGGGGGTGAGGAGGAAGGACAGTAAAAAAAAACAAACACCTTATAATTTGCTCTTACCTTAGTGATGCTTCTGCTGTCTAGTCTGAGAATGAGAGTTCCGGAACTAGTACAGCGGCTTATTGCTGCACTGGATTACCCAAACTATGTATTTAGTAATTAGACAGTCTGGCATTTGTTAGCTAGATGAGCTATAAATACTCTATCTCCAAAGAACCAGCCTTCTACAGGAGATAAGAACCACAACACCTCATGGCAGGCAGCCTTTTAAGGCAGAGTCATTACAGTGGCACAAGACCTATAATGGAAAGGAGCTGCCTTTCTCTTAGCAACCCCATCCCTTTGTTCTGTTTAATATGAAGACAGCTGAACTTTATATAAACTTACCCATCTGTGTAAAGTGCTGGGAAATACTCAGGGCATTACATTACTGAACTATTAGTATTTTATTATAAATATCTGTACAATAAAAAAGCCTCAGAGGAGTAGCCGTGTGAGTCTGCATGTGCAAAAACAAAGAGGAGTCCTGTGGCGCCTTAAAGACTAACAGATTTATTTGGGCATAAGCTTTCATGGGTAAAACCCACTTCTGCCCAGATAAATAAAATGTCTCATTTTTAAGTAAGTTTTATCACATAAGAGATAAAGGCACTTAGAAAGTTTCTATTAGTCTTTGTGTACAACAGATTCCCTTTAGTAATCTAACTAAGGTATATGGCCACATTACTACAGAATCTCAGCATCTCAAATCTATGATATATTGATCTTCCTAACACCTCTATTAGCTAGGGAACCACTACAAGCCCCACTTTATGCATGGAATGCTGAGATCAAGGTATGTATGGTGAGTTAGTTTTCAGCTGCTGGGGTGTAAATCTACAGTGCCCTAGGTTGCTGTGATGTAACTGGCTACATGGCCCCTATCATGCACTAAAAGTCCATAGTGCACAGCAGCTCTAAGCATACTTCAGCCAGGAATTAGGATCGACATGGACAGATAGCAGGCAGCAGGCTACTGTACAGTGCACCGTAACTTATAGCTTGCCACATATGAACAGCTCTCTGTATAAACAAGCCTTAAGGGACATGCTGAGGGTCACAGGGAAACCTGTGCTCGATCTGAATTGAACTGTATAAACAAGCCTTAAGGGACATGCTCAGGGTCACGGGGAAACCTGTGCTCCATCTGAATTGAAATGAACCAGATTCCAACTTGCTCCTTAATCTCCTCCTTTCTAATGAGTTGTTAGATCAGTTTCAGCAATATCATGCAAGTAGGGCACTACTGACCTGTTGTAGAATCACACAGAGAGTAGAGGTGGAAAGCATTAGCTAGGCCTCTGTTGAGCACTAAGAATTATGTGGGCCAAGCCCTGAGCTTGTGCAGAGCCTCGCCGACTTCAACAGGGGCTCTGTACAGGTGCTGGGATCTGCCCATGCAGTTCTCAGGACAGGCTGGCTACTAGAGTCCATCCTATTGCCAGTGCACTATGCCGACATCACTGTGACCATAGGACAGTTGCCCCAGAGTTCCTAGATTCCAAGGCCAGAAGAGAGCATTGTGAACATCTAGGGATCACCTGATGTGTACCACTGGCCACAGAGCTTCCCCCCAATAATCCCTAATGCAGAGCTTTTAGTGCAAAACCTCCAGGCCTGATTTTAAAATGATCATTGAAGGAGAATCTGGCACAACCCTTGCAAAATGCTGGACAGATAAATTACTCTCACCATTAAAAATGTCTGCCTCAGTTCTAGTCTGAATTTGTCCAGCTTCAACTTCCAGCCATTGGATCATGTGATACCTTCCTCTGCTAAATTAAAAAGCACTTTATTCAGTATTTGTTCCCCATGCAGGTTCTTACAGACTGTAATCAAGTCACGCCTTAACCTCCTCTTTGTTAAGCTATCTAGATGGAGCTCCTTAAGTCTATCGCATGTTTTCTAATCCTTTAATCATTCTTGTGGTTCATCTCTTAACCCCTTCTATTAATCATCATCTTCCTTGAGTGGTTGTCACCAGAATTCAAGCAGCAGTTGCACCCGTGCCAAATATATACATAAAATAACCTTTCTACTCCTACTCAAGATTGTCCTGTTATGAAACCTGGGACCTCATCAGCTCTTTTGGTCACACTGGGAGCCATGTTCAGCTGATTATCAACCCCCGTAAGTCTTTTCCAGAGTCAATGCTTCCCAGGATAGAGTCCCTCATCCTGTAAATATGGCCTACGTTCTTGGGTCCTAGTTATATATGCTTATGCATTTAGCCATATGAAAATGCATATTGTTCACCTGCTCCCAGTTTATCAGGTGATCCAAATTGTTCTGATGTTTTTGTGATTTACCACTCTCCTACTTTTTGTGTTGTCTACAGATGTTATCGGTGATGATTTTATGTTTTCTTTCAGATCATTGATTAATAATGTGAAATAGTATTGGGCCAAGAATAGTATAGTTTAGTGTAGCACATAGAGTGTAGTTTCGGGCCAAGAATCCATTCTGGTGGAACCCCACTGGAAACTCACCCCTCTATGACAATCCCCTATTTACAACTACAGTTTGAGACCAAAGTTGTTACCTTTTCACACTGAGCCTGATTTTGAAATCTCACTATAGCTTCCTGTCACTGGGTGACACTGGTCCTTTAAGAGGGAAGAGGCCATTGTCTTGGACTAGTAAACTGACCCCAGATGGTCAGGCACATGTGCCATTGAGAGCAGAGATCAGCATGTGAGAGCTGCCAAAGACCAGAAGACTGTAAGCAGTCCTAAAGGAAGCTGTAGGTGGGGAGAAAGACAGGAGAGCAATAAGTTGCCAGCTGATCTCTCCAAGCCAGAGAGAAAGGGCAGAAGGCAACAGAGGGAGTTGCCTGCTGACTGATACCAAAGCAGAGGGCTGAAGGTAGAAGGAGCATGGAAGGGCTTACCTGCTAATGGCTCCATGCTAGAGCTAGGGGAGCAGTGGAAAGGTTTGCCTATTGGCCCATCTGAAACAAAAGGTTAATGGAACAGAAGGGGCATAATGGATGTTCTCTTGGGAAGAGGCACAATGAGCAAAGAGGGGTGGAGGTTCCAGCTGAGAAGAGCAGAGTTCCACTTGGGGCTGGGGTGGCTGTCCTGGCAGAAGGACAGAAGAGGACCAAAAAAGAGCTGTTGTGACATCAGCATGTGGTGTGTAGTCATCAAGGGACTAGCTGTCATGGGACTTCAAGGACTACATGCACATGATGTTTGGGAATTTTGTACATGAAATAAACTGGCTCAAAGGAGGGGAATTGCTGAAGCGAGGGAGTTGCATGGCTTTACTGGGGACTGTGAAGGAGGGAAACTAAGGTAATGCACCTGTTCTGCCACTGACTGCCACAAGAATATGCTCAAGGAGGCATCACCCTATGACACATGCACCCCACAAAAGAAACTAGTATGGGGATTTTGACATCACAAACTATGTTTTTTGAAAAGTCGAATCTAAATTGACTTTTGAGCAAATTGGAGCACGTTAAGGTTTGGCTGGAACTATGCTGTATGGTATGGGTTAGACCACAAACCAATGACAGTTTGGTGTTTTGCAGTTCATTCTAATTCAAGAGCTCGAAACAAAATATTCTCTGTGGATGTCAAGTAATGCAAATTGTTGCTTGAATAAAGGTTTGGTGAAACTTTTGCACTCTGTTGGCTAGGAATTAGCCATATAAATCCCCCAGCTTTCAGGCATCATGACAAGGAGGATGTTCTAAAACTTAGATTAGAGATAGGAGAACTATCCTATGGTTGGATAAGGAAAACAGTCTTCATCACAGAGTTAGCAGCCTTGTGCTACATGTTACTGTAGCTACTGTGTAAACACTCCTTGCTCATTTCCTAAAACAATAAACAGTTATGAAAAGTTGCATAAGCATCAAGAATGCAGCAGTTAGGACAAGTTTTTGGACAGCCCTTAAAGCCTCAACCTTTCACATTAGCCAGTTTTTTTGTTTTAGTTATTCAAAAGTCCCAGCTACACTATAAAAATAAGCTGGATGAAACATGTGTGCAGTGCTGTTATAGCCATGTTGGGCCCAGGATATTAGTCCTGAAGAGTTCTGTGTAAGCTCAAAAGCTTCTCTCTCTCCAGCAACAGAAACTAGTCCAACAAAAGCTGTCTCCAACACAGTTTCATTTTTCAGTGTGTTTTCATGATGCCCCTGAATCACGTTAAATTCCCTAGTGTTAGCATTAGTTACAGGCCACGCTTAGGGTGTGTCTAGACTACAGGGTTTTGTCGACAAAAGTGGACCTTTGTCGACAAAACTAAACCTGCGTCTACACTACCGACATAACGTTGACAGAACTCAGCAGTTTTGTCGACGCTGGTAAACCTCATTTTACGAGGAATAACGCCTTTTGTCAACAGAGTTCTGTCGACAGAAGGCGTTATTGCATCTAAACTGTCCTTTGCATCTACACTGCCATGTCGACAAAGCAGCTTGCTTTGTCGACAGAACTGAATGTAGTCTAGACGCTCTTTGTCGCCAGAAGCTTTGTCGACAGTATCTGTCGACCAAACTTCTGTCGACAAAAGCCAGTAGTCTAGACGTACCCTTAGGTCCCATGTATTCTCCAAGAGCACTCATGCTGGCAACAAGTATGACCTCCTGACAGTTCATCTGCTAGCACAAATGACCTAAGAAGCAATGATAAAATTGCAGTACAAATGTACTGGTCTTTCTAGAAAATGTAACTCACCCATCTTTGGTCAGTACAATTAGTAATAATTGTGGGAAAATATATTTTACTCACCTGTTAAAGTATTTTTCAAACTAGAATTTTGTGGTTCAGCACACCACACCTCTGGTTAGTGAAGTATAGCCCAATTTTAAATCTCAAGGCTCTACCTTGCATCTATTAAAGAGAACTGGAAGTTTTATCACTGACTTCAGTAGAAGCAGGCTCTGGTCTGCATTTTGTGGAAGCATACAGAGTCGAGGCATACAGGAAGAATGCAAATCTGAAATTACCTCAGCTCTGTGTAAGCTCAAAAGCTTGTCTCTCTCACCAAAAGAAGCTGGTCCAATCAAAGGCAGAATTAGGGGTGAAGAGGGACGCTATGGAGATTTCACTGGTGAGCAATACATTTTCAACACTTTTCATTCAGCTATGTATACCCAGAAAGATGGGATTAGAATGTTCTGGGGCAAGCTT